CTAACTGTTCTGTAGCAGTTACATAACTAAAGGATTTCTCAAAATTCACAGACCTGTATATTACAAAGTGTGAATTTCAGGTAAATTATATCAACTAAAAAAATGACAAAAATATGGAAAAATAATATGTAAGGAAAACAAAGACAATGTAATATGAAGGTTAACTGGTGTCCTTAAAATAGAGAATCCTCTAAATAAACAAAAAGGACATTCAAAGATAGAATCCAAGAAAAACTTCCTTAGAGGAAGAAGTGAATCTGTATTTCTAAAAGAACACTATTTTCTTTCTTTCTTTTTTGTTTTTTAAAGATTTTATTTATTTGAGAGAGAGTGAGTGAGAGAGGCACAAGCCAGGGGAGAGGCAGAGGGAGAAGCAGACTCCCCACCGAGCAGGGAGCCCGACACCGGGCCCAATCCCAGGACCCTGGGCTCATGACCTGAGCCAAAGGCAGACACTTAACCCAGGTGCCCCAAAAGAATGCTATTTTCTAGATGAAAAATGTGATAAAAGATTTAAAGTCAGACATATTTGGTTAATTTCAAAGAGAAGTAAAAACTCTTCAGATATCCAGGCAGAGGAAACAAGTCAATAGAACATGTGAGATGTGTTGGGAGGGAGTGGATACTACAGTGTTAGACAAAACAGGATTCATAGAAAAGACTATTAAGTTCTGAAGGAAATGGGTATATTATTAAACTGGTAAACAATGCCTCTCAGAAATGTAAAAGATAGTTTTATATATAAAAGAATTTATAAATATTTCAGCATCCATGAATTCTTCAAAAATCTATCAGGATTATAAAACTTAGTCAATTAGGAGAGGACATTAAGTTAAAAAAAAAACAAAAACTGGGAGAAGCCATGGTTAAAAAGTGCTTTGAGGTTTGAAACCACTTAAAGTGTAGAGCAGTGGTTCTCAAAATGTAGCAGGTATCGGAATCACTTGGAGAGCTTTTTTTTTTTTTTTTCCAAGAGTTTATTTATTTGACAGACTGAGAGACAGCGAGAGCAGGAACACAAGCAGGGGGAGTGGGAGAGGGAGAAGCAGTCTTCCCACGGAGCAGGGAGACCGAAGCAGGACTCGATCCCAGGACCCTGGGATCATGACCTGAGCTGAAGGCAGACGCTTAACGACTGAGCCACCCAGGCGCCCCTGGAGGGCTTATTAAAACAGAGTGCTGGGCCTTAGTGTTTCCAGTAAGTCTCCTGGTGTGCTGACGCTACAGGGTCCACGAAACACACTTCAAGAATGACTTGTTTAGTTCTAAGACTAAACAACTAGGATAATTATGGTTATAAAACACAATGGTCACATATAAAAAATAATACATATACAAAGAGATTCTGGTTAAAGATGGCAGACTAAATATGTGAATTTACCCACGCTCCCAACAAAATAAAAAAAAATAAAGGAATTAGGAGTACACTTAAAATGAACAAATTTAGGAATAAACTTAAAAGGTCAGACTTCTGGATTTTTTCTCCTGTTCTTTTTGACCTTTTAAGGCCTAAAAAGTTGAATTATAAGCCATCAAAGGAAAAGTTAAGCAATAAAATTTGTAGAATTCCCAAACAGATCAAGAACTGGTGGCACCAGGTAGCCTCCCTGAGGCAGAAGGTAGAGATAAAGATAGAATTCGTTAAAAGCTTTTTTAAAGAGCAGTTAAGACTGCTATTTATAGCAGTCTATTATATATTATATATATAACAGTCTATTATATATAAGACTATTTCATTCATTTTTTGCTCTGGCCAATTGAAGAGGATGAAGTAGAATTTCTCAAGCCTGGCACTACTGACATCTTGGATCAAAAAATTCTTTGTTGCTGGAGGCCATCCTGTGCAGTGTAAAATGTTTAGTAGTATCTCTGGCCTTTACTTACTAGATGCTATTAGCACCTCTTACCCCAAACTGGACAGCAAAAAATGCCTGCAGACATTGCCAAATGTGCCCAGTTGAGAACCACTGCTATAGAAACATCTCCTTAGATGAATCTTTTTAGGAAACTCTCCTGATGAAGAAATGTTTATTTAACATTCAACAGCTCCTTTATTTTTATTTTCCTTTTGTTAAACTCAGGAAAAAATAGATTTAATGCTTTGTTTAAAAATACATGTTTAGCATGCTACCATTCCTAAAATATATTTTTGTCCATTCATCCATGCATGTATATATACATTGAGAGAAGGAATGTTATTGGTGGTGGCATTTTTTTTTGTGACATTTTAACTTTGTACTCTGCTATGCTTGACTGTTCAGTGACTATGAATCATTTCTGCAAAGACAAGTCATTGTACTAAAAAATAAAAATCTAGCAGAGGCTGACACAAAATAGGTAGGCAGTAATCACTAGCTCTTTCTTCTTAAGTATATTAAGTATCTTGGACAAAAAAAAGGGGATAGTTATTGTATATAAAGCCCAATAATTCAAAAAAATCAATTCTAGTAATTAATATCATTGTTGAGATTGGGGTGAAAGCACTGAAGTAGGCATAAATTTCTGGTAATGTAGTTACAGGATTAGGTGGGAGATCCAGATATTTAAGTGGTTAATGTAATCACTGATCAAAGAGACAGCCGCATGAACCAAGATTTATGATCAATCTAATTCTAGGCCACTTAGCAAAGAAGCTCAAAAATTAAAACTCCAATGCACAACAGTATTACATGTATTTTTCTTTTATGTGTTTTCATAGTTCAGAAATTTTCTACAGCTGTTTTATAAATCAGAAAAAAAACTTTACAGAAATAGATTAAGCCTCAAAAAACCTGAGTAAAAAATAAGATTTGTTTAAATGTGGTTTAACTGTTCTAATTTAATGACTTGAATACTTTTGAAAATTTGAGTAAGTTTTGAATTTGTCAAAACCTTTAAATAAATAAACATACTGACTATTAAGACTGTTGAAAAAATGGACATATATTACAAGGCAATGTCCCCTTCAGCTGCTAACAAACTACACCAAAATCGAACAGTTCACGGAGACAGAAGCATCAAGAAGGAAAGGGGAAAATATGACTAGAACTGCATACTACAGAGTCAATTCCTAGACCGGCCACAATAATCTAGCACACAAGATCAACCTTGGCCACCTAGTCTATCTGCCAGAGATCTAATTACTGGAGGATAAGAAAATTGCCTCCTTGTTACTACCTTTCCAATATACCTTGTTATTAACAGTGACTAAAATGCAGTGTCAATTTTATCAGTTTTCTAGTCAATAAAGGTGAAGAACTAAGTTGTAAGAACTTTAATAGGAATATAATTTTCCATATTGTTCACTAAAGCGATTTTCTGATTTAAAACACATAAATATAGGGATGCCTGGGTGGCTCAGTCAGTTAAGTGTCTGCCTTCGGCTCAGGTCATGATCCCAGGGTCCTGGGATCCTGTCCTGCATCGGGCTCCTAGCTCAGTGGGGAGCCTGCTTCTCCCTCTGCCTGCTCTGCCTGCCACTCCCCCTGCTTGTGCTGACAAATAAATAAAATCTTTAAAAAATAATAATAAATAAAAAAACACATATATATAAAAAAAATCCTTAACACCCTCTCCCCCCAACCATAATTATTCTTGTGGCAAAAAAGGTGTTCACCATGGTTCTGGAGAGAACAAAACTGGAAACATGAATCCCTCCTTTTAAGTCTTTACTATATACAAAGAACATGCCTACTTGATAAATGGACAAAATCTGACTTCACAAATCACACATTCCCCCCCCCAAAAAAAACGAAAGCAATGTTTTAACATTTATTATTTTGTAATACATTTATTACACTGTGCCTCTTTTGTATTAAACAGACTCAAGTGGATTCTCCACTTTCTTACTGAGATTAAAAATACTTGGTTTCCATGCCCAACTACAAGAAGAGATATAATCAAGAGAATGATCTCTGAAGTAACAACCTCCAGGTATTATTTTATTAAAATTTAACACAGTTCAAGCAGTATCAGAACTTTCTAAAAAAAGTGAGGTATGTAAAATAATAAAAATTCTGACTCGTGTATGTAATGGAGTCATTTGGGAAATCAGACAAGCGTTAGAAGTGGAATTTAGAAATCATGGATTAAAGAAATATGATTTTAACCCAAATACCTCGCCCAAAATTACAAATAACTTTATTAACTGTAATGTTAATATGTTGTCTATTTTGGGGGGGTTATCTTAAACTGAAGTTTATTTGCACCACCTGAATAAAGAAATTGTACCACTATAATGAAAAATGGTATCACTCTAAAGACGCTATCTAATTAAAATGCAACCTACACCTAATTAAACATGAAATTTCAGATTACAGAAGCATACTTTTGTCAAGATACAAGATTTGTAATACCATTGAACTGACCAGCTTTTACAGATACATATATTATTACTTGAGAAATACAATAATTTCTTCATAGCATGAAGGTCGAGGACCCAGCCACAGAGCTAGTATTTACTAATATTAGTAAATATTACCGCCAGGCTGTCCCAAATAGCGGGCGTTTAAGTGCAGTCAGCCCGACAGAACAAAGAGGCCAACATGCCTCCCAGGATGACAGTGCTGCAGACTCTGAGGTCGCTGGCAACAGGACGAGAAGAGATGGAGTACTCCACGGAATGGGCCTAAAACCTCTGTAGAGACGGCCTACGCAGACACAGGGAAAAAAAAAACAACAAAAAGGGACTTGGAAGAATATGGAGTAGCTTTCACGAAAGCTACTCACGAAACACGGTTGGGGGAGGGAAACTACAGCTGTCTTGTCTTTGCTTCTCCCATCAGGGTTATCTTTCCATCTCCACTGCTCCTCACGGCCACGGCTGTCAGCTCTTAGCAAGACTCAGGGCCCTAAAGCTGAGTTGGCGTGACCACGGGAGATAGGGAGAAAATGGGGACGGAAGGCATTCCCTGTTGGGTGGGGTACCAAGTTACCGACGCACTGCATCCAGCCCGGCTCGGGTTCCCTTCTCCTTCGCCTCCTATGCTTAGCACCCTGAAGGTCACTAAAAACCTCCTTACCCAGCTCGCCATGGAGCACAGTCCCAAGACGTTCCCCATCTCGGCAACGTCGCAGGAGCAGCCGCTGGCGACAAGATGGAGACAGCACCTCTCCACCCTTTCGGGCCTTATTTACTATCTGCGAGCCACTTCCGGCGCATAGCCCACCCCGCCCCTCAGCTTTGCGTCACTTCCTTTGAGGCCCATGTTGGGTGGGGTGAGGGAGGGTGTCGTGTTGAGATTGCGCGTGCGCGTTCTTGGAATTTGAGGCAGGTTTCGGAGCAGAGCTCTTTAACACCCGGGCGGAAATTTCTGGCTAATGCAGCTTGACCGTAGTTTGCCACATTAAGGAAACGATGTGAGAAAAACTCACCATTACTTAATGTTTATTAGAATTTGGGTTTAGTAGAGGCTGAGGTGGTGGTTGATGATTTTGTCCTCGTCTATTAGAAGAATTTCTGACGGCTTTTGGAGGATTGCCTTTTTCTCAATGTTCATCCGTTCATCCACTTATTTCTCGTTTTTACACTTTTGCGTCCTTTTCCCCCCCACTTACATTCCCAAGTATTCCTGTAGGCCACTGCCTGGGACAAGTTTATTGGGGTATTTCCATTCGTTTGGGTACTTACAGTTCTTTGTATCACTTCTTTGTTGTTGACACGGATTTTCATTTCTTGCCCAATTAAGATGTTACGGGAAGTTTGCACGTTAAAAAATTTTAATTAGGTAAAAAAGACATACTGATTATAAAAACTTAAATATAGCATTGGTTTTATTGAACGTTATGAGCTGTTCAGGAGACATTTGGAATCCTTGCAAATTAAGTGATAATGATCATCTCCAGGGAATGTACACAAAGTTGTAGTTCTTTTATAAAAGATATTCTGGGAGAACAGTTTGGTGCACAGAAATAACTTAGAAATAGTCATTGTCATTAATAATTTAAGTTTACAAAAATTAGATGGGTGAAGGTGAGGTAACACCTAGGAATCTAGGACTGTGACCATTAAATGGTAAGTAGCAAAAATGAAGGAATGGAATTCAGTAAAAGACAGTGGGTTTAGTTTGGACATGTTGAACTTGAAGTCTCAGAAATGTTACCCCTCAGCACGTGAAAATGCAAGCTTAAAAACCAAGAGTGATGAGATGCAAAATTTAAAGTAACTTACATTGCCGTTAGAGTTGAAGATGTCAGCCTGAAAACAAGAAACCAGTTCAAGAAGCAAAGCGTTTAACTGAAATCAAAGAATTGCAATTCAGGTACACAGTTTTAAGTAGAATCCCAAATAGTGTCCAGATTTCAGGAGGTTGACAGGATTTTCATGGGGGAAAAAAGAGGAAGATTGGGTAAATAGTTTTAAAGAAAAGTTCATTGGTGCTGACGAGTAGGGCTGGATTTGCACTCATTGATTGGTCAGGTGAAGTGATCACTAGGCAAAAGTTCACTTTTTCTAAACAGAATATTCTCCTGCTTGCTGACTTCTTGAATGTTGATGGTTTGGCCAAGTTCAAAGTTTCAAGAAACTGGATGTGAAAACCATTTCCCCTGAAATGGCTGCTCTGGCTCCATTTTAAAATGGTTCTACTTAAGTCATTTTAACAAAGATATACGATTGAGGTACATATCCAAAGAGAAATGTTGTAGAATTACAAGTCCTTAATATGGATCTAAAAAACTTAACACTGGAAAAATTATCAAGTGGGGAGAAGCTATTGACTTAGTTTTTAACTTCTCACTTCGATTGTTAATGTCATAGACACACCTGTCCTTTCAAGTTCTGCATTTTAAATTCTGCTTTCAATATAAGTTGTGAAAATACCTTTAGTAAGGTACTTGACTTCTCAGAATCTCAGAATCCTTGTTAGTAATATTTCAACCTTAAAGAGTTGAGAGGATTAAATAATATCACATGGTCTTATAAATTATAGCACAGTGTAAGCCTATTGTAGACAATCAATACAAGCTAGTTTCCCCCAAAATAGATTGTCTTAAAGGATGAATAAAATTTATGCATAGTTTATATTGTACAATACAAGGAGAGAAAGGATCTATGAAAAGTATGTTATGACTTTAATCCTAACATAATTAAATTCTAAATGTAAACATGTTTAAATATTTTAACATATGTTCTATAAGAATAAGCCAGGAATAGATTAGGACAAAATAACCTATAGGGGTCAGTATAAACTTAGAATTGGAAGAGGCCGTATCCTGCTTAAAGACATGCTTTTGTTAGTGAAGACAGATTTTGATTTTTTTAAATAAAAATCAATATACAATAAAGGTAAAACATTCTCCTAATTTATTACCTTAATATTAAGATAGTCTATGAACAATTTTCTTTCCACACAGGTTTTTTTTTTCCCTCAAATGTAAATTGGTAATTCCCATGACAACCTGATATGTCTATACCAGTGAAGTAGATGAATACAAAAGTATAATATTTATTTCAGGCAGAACATATATAAATTCAGGGGAAAAAAGCAAATATTCACCATGTAAATAATGAAGTGGGTAGAGAATTAAAATGTTTCCAGTGTTTAATATACTATTTTATAATCATTTAGAGTGACTACTTGAAGAAACGCTAATGACATTTCTAAAACATTTTGCTTCTGAAGGACAATTAGCTAAAATATGTTAAGGATTTATTGACCTCACATAGGAGTTGATAAAATACAATGTTATCATATATTGAAGAACTATTAAAATCAAGCAATCATTCACCAAAAAATGTTATTATGCTGTAGAAAGGGGCCAACTATTTCTATTTAGGCATTTATCAGATTTTTGAATTCTTATTAAATATGTTATTAAGGCAATGTTTAAATCATCACTTTCCAACAGAAATATAAGGTGAGCCACGTTTATAATTTACTTCAGACATTGAATTGGTTTCATCTAATTATTTTTGCATAAAAATCAAATCTGAGAGACTGTAAGAAGGGTAATTGTTAAGTTCTTATAATTATTTAGGCTAATGCTTTGATTCAGCCATGGTTAGACACTGCACCACAGTTCAGCAATCCCAAATGTTAGTCTTTAGTAAGAAAAACGAAGAGTTGGCTAACATAATAACATGAAAATTATGCTTTAAAAAGGGAGCTCTCTCATACAAATAGAGTCCAGAAGATGGACTTTCCCCATTGAATCTCCATATAGACACAACCTTGGATTAAATGTCAGTGAAGAGAAGTGTTTAGAGACATGCTTAAATCTGGAGTAAGGATGCCTGTGCTTAAATGCTACCTCCACCTCAAATTAGCTGTGTAATCTTGGGCAAATTTCATTTTTTGTGCTTTAGATTCCTCAACTTTAAGATGGGAGAGTAACAGTACCTTCTTCATAATGTTGCTGTGTTAATTAAATGAAAACAAGCAAAGTGCACAGAAAGGTGTCAGGCTCATGGTAAGTGCTAAATAAATATTAGCTACTACTTCTAGGTATTAGGGACTGTTCTTTTGTTTTCTTTTTCTTTAATAACTCCCCCCACCCCCATAGTGTCTTAATCTTTGAAACCCTCTGTCTGGCTCTCAGTCAAATGTTTCCATCTAATTTTCTCCTCAATAGAACTGAAGGTAGAATAGGGTAAGGGCTTCAGGTCCTGCTAAGTAAATAACCACAAGACAAAACAGGCCCTTTTTATAATTTGTATTAACTGTTAACCTTGAAAATAAAACTTCCAGTTATTTTGTCAGCAAAAGAAGGGTTTATTCAGGAATAGCAGAGAACTGCAATCCAGGACAAGCAAGCCACAGCAAAACCATAGCCAGGTATGGAGAACAAAGGAAAGGAGTGTAGAGGAAAGGGGATAGTTGGGAGGGACTGTTATAAACCTAAAGTCCATTGGAGTAAATTGGGAGTTTGAAGTATAGTGGCTTTTCATTGGCTAGGCTGTTGCCAGGGCAAGAAGAAATCTTCCTTTCTCTGGATGGGATAGTAAAGTAGTTTGGACTTGCAAGGTCCATCTCTTCTGTTGGGTGTGCAATTGATAACTGGTGCTAGGTGTAAGAGCCCCCCCTGCTGGCCTCCCGACTTCATTCTAACCGAAGTTTTTTTTTGGTTGCTGTTTTTAATTTTCACCTAATTTATTAAAGTACAACTCCCATGCATTATTTTGTTAAGAGAATGTTTGTTTCTTTTTAAAATCTTACCAAATACCCCATTTCAGGAGGTGAGAATGGAGGCATTTAGAATCTATCCTGGAGGCAGAGTAGTTCTAGGATTGCTTGATTTAAGCACTTAAGTATGATAATTTTGAAAGAAAGAGAAATTCTCTGCACCCTCCTTTTACACCTTACCAAACATCTCTTTTCGACAAGGAAGGAAAGCATTTTCCAGAAGCCCTGCCCACCTGCCATCAGATTCTTCTTCAGCCTCAAGATCAGAATTGTTTTAAACAATTCTTGAGAAAGGAAGTGGAGATACCATGATAGATTTACTCATCAGCATTCCCACATAGAGCCCTGAAGAACATAGCCTTGGATCAAACCTGAACAAAATTAAAGTTCTGTTACCAAGCCACCTCAAGTCTAGAAGCTGCTTCATTCTCAAGCAAACTTTTAAAATTCAGGGTATAACTTCTCAATAATAAAAATTAAAATTAAAATACCATTTTCTATAAATAAATAGAAAATGTGAATTTTTATTCACAATATTTAGGAACTTAAGTCAGTAGGATACTAAATTTTTAAAAAATATTTTATTTATTTATTTATTTATTTATTTATTTAGAGGACAGGGGGGAAGGAGGGAGAGGGAGAAAGAGAATCTCAAGCAGACTGTGCTGAGCAGGAGCACAACATAAGGCTTGATCCCAGGACCCTGAGATCATGACCTGAGCTGAAATCAAGAGTTGGATGCTTAACTAACTGAGCCACCCAGGTGCCCCAGGATACTAATTTTCTATAAAATAACTACCCATCTTCTTTTCTAGGAAATAAAATTCTTTTGAGAGCCAAAGCTTACTTGCTTCAATCTCATTTTCTGTAGAAATGATTGCTAGGTCCAAAAGTCTTTCCTGTGACATTGTACACCTTAACTAGTCATTAATAATTTTTAATTTTGAGAAGACTCCACTGGCAAATAATATTACATAAATATATTTATATATTTGCGTAAGTATAAATATAGAGAGAAAAATTCTGAAAGCTGTAAAGGTATTTGGAACTAGTGCTAAATATAATGTAGTATTTTAAGAGC